ATGCCTTTATTTGACTATAATTTCACAATTGAAAGCCACTAATTGACAATACTCTAAAGCCCCGTTTACACTACGCTCAATTTTTTGTACGGCACGGATAAAATTGGTACCCGCTTACCACTTTTTTGGTTCTTGGACTACCTATTTAGCTAAGCCCCGTTTACACTACGCTCAATTTTTGGTACCGTACCACTTTTTGGTTCTTGGACTACCTAAATAGGTAGTCCAAGAACCAAAAAAGTGGTACGGGTACCAATTTTATCCGTGTCGTACCAAAAATTGAGCGTAGTGTAAACGGGACTTAAGTTTGAGGCGCAGATTGTGGATGGAACGAAATCCTCAAAAATATTACATTGATGACATGCATTTTATTTCATATTTATACGACTCGAGCTCCTGGTCTATTTTTGAATGTATAGTGCAAAGTAACATAAATCTGTGTTTAGAGTTGTGATCTAACTGAGTCTTTATAAAAATAATATAACTCAATGTCAACACGGAAAATTTCTTTCTTTATATTTCTTTGTGCTATATTATAAAAAATATATAAAACATTTTTCCATATTGATATACAGTTATATCAACACTCGTGGTAATTGGGAAAGCGCAAAATTGTGTGAAAGCAATCCGTCCTTCTGTCGTCGTGTTTCCACACAATTTTTCGTTTTCCCAATTTCCGTTCGTATGATATAATGCATTTATATCAACACGGAAAATGTTTTATATTTGTCAAAAATAAAATTGCTATAGTCCGCAATAATTGTTACACCATGCACCAATAGAAACTCTAGATATGAATTATGTGAAAATTTGGAAAATAGACAAATTATAATGAGCTCGAGTAGCATCATTCGCAAATTGACTATTTCAGTTCACGTGTAACAACATTCTTTTGTTTAGCTAGTATGGCGAATTCTTGCAAGCTAACCATGCATGCATGTTGCCAATTTTTATGTAGATGTTGCTGAAGCCAAAAGGATTGAATTTGTTGATGTTTATTTTGGTATTTGCGCTATCAGAAGGAAACCGTAAGAATTATCTGTCACCTAACATACAAATATGTTTATAATATTCCAACAATGTGTCAATGTCGATGTAATTTTTAAATATCTAAGTTTGAAGTTATTTATTATCAGCTATTTATTTAAATTTTATGCCTTATAGAAAATCATAGTAAAATTGGATTTGACCACAACTTCTACTATGGCTCTGAGGGTGAAAGTGCAGAAATTTGCCTTGTAATTGAAAGATACGTGCAGCGCATTACTGGAGTGTAAGGACATATTTTAATTTGCCTATTTGTTATGACGTAACATGATTTGCCTAGCCGACCAAGCAAACCCTCAGTATACGATCGAGGATTATTAGCTGGGACTATTAAATAAAACTTAAGTTTTGTGTTGCAGTTAATGTTAATGCTGTGTTATTACTATACATGCATGCTATTGTATAATTAGCCTATAATACAACATTTACATCAATCATTTGGACAATATCCAATTACTAAAATATTTCATTTTGTGAAGGCACAAAGTTTTGTTGATAAATAACATTATGTTCTGATATGTTAAGGATAACCACTGCGGATGGGACAGCAAGAAGTGGAGTGGATTACAACAATACTGTGCTGCCAGTTAACATCACGATAAATTCTTCAGAACCAGTGTGCTATACTATAAACTTACCAGATGATGATGATTCTGAAGTACTCAAAACTTTTACCGTTGTTTTCACGACAAATGAAACCAATGTTCAAATACCTCGAAGCAATGCTACAGTTACTATTACTGATGATGATGGTAAATATATGTACAAACTGCATATCTATCTATTTTTTAATTCTCAGATTTCCATTAAAGTAGGGTATAACTTGCATAGCATATACCAGTTGCTATTGCTAGACCTTGCTAGCACACCACTAACAAGGTAATTTCCCATTGCGATGGCTCAATAAATAGTGCAAGTCAGTATGGTAAGCTGTGATCGTAATTGATCATAATTAATTTAGTTTGTCCAAAGTACAGACATGCATATATTATTATAATGGAAGTGCTGCTAGCATTTTATTATCGGGCATGATATAATTTTTTGTATTAATCCAATTTTATCACATTTGGCGATTTTACCACCAATGTTTTTTACAATGACTCATATTCAAACACTAATTTTCACACATTCACGTTTCCAACTCATATGCCGATCTTCTGCACGTATATCTGGCAATACTATCTCAAATTTCGAGCAGGAATGTTGAGCCCAACACTCCTGTGAGCCTACTCAAAGTTTCATATACGAATAACTCCTAAACAGTATTAATGAAGGTAAAATGTTGTGGCGTTAGTTGAACTTACCAAACCATTAGTCGATCATACAACTTTAATTTATCTGTATCCCCTTTAAACCGGAAATGGTTCAGCAATCTATTTTTTTAACAGAATTGGCATGCATATATGAAGCAAGGTTCAATTCTTGCACCCAATTTGTTTGTTAATTTTCTTTTATTTATAACTAACCGCCCAAATTGTTAGAGGACTTCAAATCTCTTTCTCTCACCCGAAGCTAAGACTCAAATTTGATAACATGTGGATGAAATTTGCATAATATAAATAGTGCCGCTTTGCAACTACATTTGATTTCAGTTACCCAATTGACCAACCTAGACCACATGGTTTTGAACTTTTGAAAGACTAAGATGTTCAAACATATTTATATGTTTAATTAAAAATATACTTTATAATGTCATACAACATTGCCGTATTAATTCAACTTTTTTATGAAACCTACTAGACAGTTAGCCTCCTCCGCAGGCCTCTCTATGGGTTTTAGCCTGCGAATGGGTTTTCAAGAAAACATTTTCTTGGAGAGAGGCCTGCCATAAATTGAACAAAATGGACGTGTCAATGTACCTTACTGGCCCGTGCCCCCTAAATATATATATTCAGTTTGAAATCTTCGGGCGAGGAGCGAAACTCGCAAGAGTAAAACTTTTAAAATGTTTTATAATGCGTCGAAATATTCAAGTTATACAAAAATTAGTTGGTCAATTTAAAGGATTATATATCGCAATGTCCCTCGCGGTATAAAAACGTCGTGCAAATTTTGAATCGCTCGCTCGAAGCAGCCAAATTTTTACAATGTATAAATAAATGAATGGGTTCTGAGTTTTGCTCAATTGTTCAGCCGAGGAACTACAATTTGAGGAAATTATCTGGCATAATTTCGAACGCAAAACGAAGAATGGAACGATACGAAAGGTATGATTTGTTTAATAAAGGGATTATATTGAATTGTATTGTTTTCTAGAATAATATTTTGGCATGTCTATAAAGATGTTGACATTTTGACTACACTTTACTATCCATTTTAGTCAAATCATCAGGTGCATTTGGCAACATGCTCAGTGAAATTGAATTGATGTATAAAAGGAAAAGATCTTTCTGTTGAAGCAACCATTTCAATAAGTGAAGAGAGATAGCAACTTGGAAATATAAACTAACTGTAGAAAGTTGATTATACAAACATCAAGATTTTGTTAGCATCTTATATAAGCCTGGTTTACATGTATGCCAACAATATTAATATGCCTGAGATTAATGCATACAATCTTTGTGAATTATTTGGTTGAACTGGTAACCTGCCGACATACCACGGTATTTGTGAACTAGCCATCACTCAGGTGAATAGTTAAAATGAAACTGCAGTTTTTGAACTTTCTCACCCCCTTAATATCATGTAAATATGCTAAACCCATCAAGTGGCATTGTGGCACTATGCCGGTGAAAACTAGTTGGCATGTAACAACCTCTTTCTAAAATAGTACTGTATATCAGTATATGCCTACTTGTGTTACACTTACTGACGTGAATGATTTGATAAATAAAGGAATTTATGATGTGTCTGCATATTCTCTAATTATATGTATCTTCCTTGTTCATGCTCAAATAAAATTGCTCGATCTTGACATATATTGCTTTAAAATATAGTAACTCTAGATTCTCATGTATATCGGCGGGGAGGGGGTAAATAGGTTTTCGGATCGTCGGAATACACAGAAAAAATTGTTCAGATTTCGGATCTGGCGAATATTTTACACGGATTTGCGGATCTTATTAATACAGCGGATTGCGGATTTATCTAATATTTTGGCTCGGATTATGGATTTAGCTTTCAATTTAGTTCGGATCCTGGATTGTGACTTCATAGTAGAGCTTTTAGCCAACCTCGTTCCCAGGGCTTTCCCCTTTTTGTCATTGGGAAGGCGGGAAAAGGCCCTGGCACCGGCCGGTCTTCTATGTATTCTGATTGGTCAATGA